GGTGGTGGGGAACACCTTTATTTTCAAAAAAGTCTCTATTGCTTAGTGGTGTGGCCATTTCTCGTCAAGATGTTTACTCTCCGAATCAAATGAGTGCTGTAATTATGGCAGCTGCGAAGGTATGGACTGGGAATGTGCGAGCCTGCCTGCGTGTTCATCATGACACTCGTACATTTTGTAAGGCGATGAAGATGAGAAATTTGCCCGTGGTTTTGTTGGATGGGGTCCGGTTTGCATCGCTCGAGTCCGTGCAGCACGGAAAGGTGCGAACGCGAAAGGATGTGGTATCCGGGGATTTGTGTGTGGCCATACGGAAGCTCAATGGTGTGGAGCTGATGGATGACGTTCAGCCAAGGGACCCTGCGATTTTTCTCCGGGACGAGAAGTCGAAGACATTTTCGGCCGAGGAGGCCAGGGAGATTTATTCCATCATTGTCAAATCCCTCTCGCACATCCTGGTAGTGGATTCTGAGGTTAAAACGGTGGAATGTGGCATCAAAAGGATCATGGGGAACCCGACGGCGACGGAGCCAGAGACCCCAAAACTCACCGATCTCATCAGGTGGTTAAAAAGTAACATGTCAACACACGATGTGCTTCCCATCTTTTCAACCCAAGACCGAACCGTTACATTTTTCGTCAACCAGAAGATATTCAGGCGCATAGGCCACAATGACAATGGGAGGCGGAAGAAGTAGCCCCGGGTGGGGTGTAGTGTTTTTTTTTTTGTGTGTGGGGGTTGAAAGGTTCTTGATTGTTTTTTTTTTTTCTTTTTTTTTTACCGAGGGAGTGCGATTGAGGTGCGATACAAATATATTTGCTTCTTGACATCACAATAAAAGGGGGAGGAGCGGGAGGCGTAAGATGCGTTTCTGCCGCCCACAGTTTCACGATGCTTGTATTTCTTCACACACCCCACCAATTCCAGAGAGAATTTTTGGCATCTCTTTTTAAATTTATTCTATTTTTTGGTGGTTTTTTTTTTTCTTTTTGGCTTATCTTTTTTTTTTTTTTTCTTTCTTTTTCTTTTTTGAATTTGATTTCACTTCTCACAGCCCCGCCTGGGTGGCAAAAGAAAAGGTTGTGACGGAAAGGAGGGGAGGGCAGGAGGCACGGAGGGAAACAAAAACACACACACTGAAGGAAACAAGGCAATAAAAACAACAACAACAACAAAAAAGGGGTATCGAGGAGGAGGGGAAGCTGAAAACCAACCAACCGAGCAAACTCCTACGAAAGACGCGGGCGTGCACATGGCGAACTTCTTTAGGAAAATTGCCCCTACAGCCCCTCTTCCGGACACGGAGGAGGTAGAGATGCTACGGCAAAAGGTTGGCACGCTGGAGGAGCTTGTGAAGCGAGCAGAGGAGGAGTTGCGGGAGGAGAAAGAAAAACTGTCCACGCTGCAAAATAAAACCGCTCAATGGAAAGAAAAGGTCAAGGAGCTAAACGCCAAGGATCGGGCATGCATCAAACAACTTGAAGAGGAACTGAAAGTTATAAAGGCCATGCACGGCGATGCGCCTATTCCCATAACCGCGGAGATACAGTCGCTGGTGGAGAAGGGTCTTGCAACGCTGCGATACGAGCACGAAGGAGAGCTGGGAGCCAAGCAGCGGGAGCTGGAAAAGGCGCTTGCAACCGTATCGGACCGCGCCTCAGAGCTCGAGGAGAGCCAACGCAAGCTGGAAGCCCTCCAAAAGCAGCACATGGAGATGCAACAACGCTTCACAAGCCAAATGGAGTCCCTAAGCAAGCACCATGAAATGGAAATAAATCAACTTAATAAGCGTCTCAGCGAGGCGGACAGGGTTCATGAACTCAAAAACCATATTAGTAAGCAGGAGGATGAAATAAAAGCGATGGAAAGTCACTCTACCCAACAAGCAGTTCTTGCAGGGGAGTTGCAGAAGGAAATAGCGGAACTCACGGCGAAAAATAACGAACTACAGGGAAAACTTAACGAGTCCTTGGATAAAATGTCTGTTATGCAAGAGAAGCAGCGGAATTGGAAAGAAAGTGTTAAAAACATGAAGATGCAGGATATGAACACCATTCAGGAACTGCGAGAGGAACTCGAAAGGCAAAAACGAGAAGCATCCACTGAAAGCGGTCTTCATCCGTCGCATGAGGAAAAACTGCACCAGTGGAAGGAAAGGGTAAAGCATGAAAAACTTAAAGATATGGAAACGATTAAAGATCTCACCAACAAACTTAGCGAATCTCAACAACAGATAGATGAAGCACAAAAACTCATTAACAATGTAGCTATTTTTCTTGAAGAAATTCCACCAAAAGTCTCACATTCCATTGAATTTATAAGCAAATACCGGTCACTATTGAGCGAAAACTTCACGGCAACAAAAAAAACGGCTTCCGCCAATAGTTCTACATCCACTCCGTTGACAGCTAGAAAAGGCGAAAAAGCAGATCAGGATACAGTACGGGCGTCACAAAACCTGCGTGTACAGCTGGACGAGGCCTTGCAGCAGCGCGAGGAGGTGCATCGCGAGCTGGAGCGAACCAGCGAGGAACTGGCCGCTCTCCGGGAGCAGAGCGGGGTGGACACCGCGAATCTGCGTGCGCAGCTGGACGAGGCCGTGCAGCAGCGCGAGGAGGTGCAGCGCGAGCTGGAGCGAACCATCGAGGAACTGGCCGCTCTCCGGGAGCAGAGCGGGGTGGACACCGTGAATCTGCGTGCGCAGCTGGACGAGGCCGTGCAGCAGCGCGAGGAGGTGCAGCGCGAGCTGGAGCGAACCATCGAGGAACTGGCCGCTCTCCGGGAGCAGAGCGGGGTGGACACCGTGAATCTGCGTGCGCAGCTGGACGAGGCCGTGCAGCAGCGCGAGGAGATGCAGCGCGAGCTGGAGCGAACCATCGAGGAACTGGCCGCTCTCCGGGAGCAGAGCGGGGTGGACACCGTGAATCTGCGTGCGCAGCTGGACGAGGCCGTGCAGCAGCGCGAGGAGATGCAGCGCGAGCTGGAGCGAACCATCGAGGAACTGGCCGCTCTCCGGGAGCAGAGCGGGGTGGACACCATGAATCTGCGTGCGCAGCTGGACGAGGCCGTGCAGCAGCGCGAGGAGGTGCAGCGCGAGCTGAGGCGAACCATCGAGGAACTGGCCGCTCTCCGGGAGCAGAGCGGGGTGGACACCGTGAATCTGCGTGCGCAGCTGGACGAGGCCGTGCAGCAGCGCGAGGAGGTGCATCGCGAGCTGAAGCGAACCAGCGAGGAACTGGCCGCTCTCCGGGAGCAGAGCGGGGTGGACACCGTGAATCTGCGTGCGCAGCTGGACGAGGCCGTGCAGCAGCGCGAGGAGGTGCATCGCGAGCTGGAGCGAACCATCGAGGAACTGGCCGCTCTCCGGGAGCAGAGCGGGGTGGACACCGCGAATCTGCGTGTGCAGCTGGACGAGGCCGTGCAGCAGCGCGAGGAGGTGCAGCGCGAGCTGGAGCGAACCATCGAGGAACTGGCCGCTCTCCGGGAGCAGAGCGGGGTGGACACCGCGAATCTGCGTGTGCAGCTGGACGAGGCCTTGCAGCAGCGCGAGGAGGTGCAGCGCGAGCTGGAGCGAACCATCGAGGAACTGGCCGCTCTCCGGGAGCAGAGCGGGGTGGACACCATGAATCTGCGTGCGCAGCTGGACGAGGCCGTGCAGCAGCGCGAGGAGGTGCAGCGCGAGCTGAGGCGAACCATCGAGGAACTGGCCGCTCTCCGGGAGCAGAGCGGGGTGGACACCGTGAATCTGCGTGCGCAGCTGGACGAGGCCTTGCAGCAGCGCGAGGAGGTGCATCGCGAGCTGGAGCGAACCAGCGAGGAACTGGCCGCTCTCCGGGAGCAGAGCGGGGTGGACACCATGAATCTGCGTGTGCAGCTGGACGAGGCCGTGCAGCAGCGCGAGGAGGTGCAGCGCGAGCTGAAGCGAACCAGCGAGGAACTGGCCGCTCTCCGGGAGCAGAGCGGGGTGGACACCGCGAATCTGCGTGTGCAGCTGGACGAGGCCTTGCAGCAGCGCGAGGAGGTGCAGCGCGAGCTGAAGCGAACCAGCGAGGAACTGGCCGCTCTCCGGGAGCAGAGCGGGGTGGACACCATGAATCTGCGTGCGCAGCTGGACGAGGCCGTGCAGCAGCGCGAGGAGGTGCAGCGCGAGCTGGAGCGAACCATCGAGGAACTGGCCGCTCTCCGGGAGCAGAGCGGGGTGGACACCATGAATCTGCGTGCGCAGCTGGACGAGGCCGTGCAGCAGCGCGAGGAGGCGCGGCAGTCGTTTAGAAATATTCAAATTAGGTTGAATGAAATTGAAAGGGAATGTGAGGTTGCTGTGAAGGAAAAGGAGAGCGGTATTCGTCTGGTGGAGGAGAAGCTGGTGCTATGGAAGGAGAAGGTAGTCGCAGCGAAGGCTAGGGATGATGCAAGAATTGGAAGTTTAGAAATTACCGTTAGCTCACTTCGTGACAATTTGAGTAAGCTTGTAAACTGTTTGGTGAACTTTTTGAATGTTTTGGGCGAGACGGTGGCGTGTGATGTGCATGAGCACGGCGATGACGATTTAGATTTGTCTTTGTTGTTCTCATGTGTGGATAACTTTCAGCGGCGGCTGGAACAAACCATGAAAGCATTGGACGTGTCCGAAGTGACCATGCCGCTTATTGAACTGCTTGTGTCTCTTAACGGGAAGGTTTCCGAGGGACAGAAGGCGTTTGTTGAGATCTCTGCCGAACTTCAGCGCTGCCAGCACGAGTTGCAGGAGACGAATTCCCGCTTGTCGGAGGCGGAGACGAAGGTGGGTTCTTTACCGTCGCCGGAGCTTGTGGCCGAGTTGGAAGCGAAGAATAGTCAACTGGAAGAAAAATGTGATCTTCTTCGCAAGGAGATTAAACGACAGAGGGAGGCATTTCAGCGAGATCGGGCCCTTCAAGGCCTTTCTTCAACATCAGCGACGCAGGAAGATGGGGGCGTAAATTTACGTTCTGCGGCTGGTGTTGTCTTTGAGAGGGACATGCTGTCATTAGCCAACCAACAGAGTCAACGTGACAATGAAATTCGTCGGCTACGTGTCCAACTTCAAAGTCTTGAGAAGGAGAATGCGGAGATGAAGCGCGAGTGTGAGCATAATAACAGTGTGGTGGCGAAGTATACGAAGGATATTGAGGTTCTCAAGGCCAAGGAACGAGTTCAGCAGAGTATAGAGTACGTGCGAAATGTAATACTTCGTTTTCTATGCTGCACGAATGAAGAACTCCGGCTGCAGATGCTTCCGGCGATATCGACGGTTTTGGAGTTTTCGTCGAAGGAAAAATTGGATGTCCAGAGAGCCAATCCTTCGTGTCCTAGATTCCAATAGGGAAGTGAATTGTTGGAATTCGCTTTTTTGGTTTGTATTTATTATTGTTTTGTTATTGTTATTATGACATCTCCCTCCTGGTGCGGATTACTGCTTTGTGGTGAGCGTTTTTTTTCTGTTTCTTTCTTTTTTTTTTTTTTTTTGTTGCGTGTGTAGTTGCGCGCATTTGTGTTTCGGCAAATCATGCAGATCTGTGGTTAAAATTTTAAAAAAAGATGCGCGAATGGGCTCAATGCTTCTTATATTGTTTTCTCTTTCTTCATGCCGTGTCTCTTTTTTTTATTGTTGTTGTTAAATTTGTGTGTTTTCTTGCTTTTTTTCTTTTGCCGATGTTTTGCCCCTGTTATCCAACAGTGTGGAGGGGGACGAAAGAAGAAAGGCGTCGTTCTGTAGAGGGGCTGACGCCGTCCTTTTTTGCGTTGGAGTTTGTGCCAATGGTGAAGCGGGATTTGGAGAAGGAGCGGCAGTTGGAGCTTGCCGCCATTTGGGGCAGTGAGACGGACGGTGACCTCCGCTACCCGAGGCGTCGTCGGAATACGGCCAAGCAGCCAACGACCACAGCGGCTGCTGCTGCCGCAGACGCAGACGGAGCGAGTGATGTTCTTTCTTTAGGCAGCGACGCCGTCAGCGAGAGCGGCGGGTCTGACCGGGGAGCACTGAAGAAGAAACGGGAGAAGAAAGGCAAGAAGGCATTGAGCGCGTACCGACTTCACTGCTTTGTCGCCCCTGGCACCGAGCGTAACGCCGTACGCACGGTGTTTGATGCATACGAGCCAAAAGTGGAGATTCGGGTATCCCAGAAGGGCAACTTGCTGAACAAGACGCACTACGCGGTGCTGACGTTTCGTAATAAAGCGATGGCACTTCATTCAGTGAAGATGTTGGACGGCACCGACCAGCGCGAACTCCTCGGGGTGAAGGAGTTGAAACTAGGACTCATGCTCTCAAGGAAAGAGCAAAATGCGTCTCGTAGAAGCATGCGTAAGCGGTTGCATGAGGAACGAGAAAGAAAAATGGTGAAAGAGACTGAAGAGGATGTGACGTTTATCAAAAATTTCATGAATCTGTACGCGCCTAGTGGGTAGATGCTAATTGTGCGACAGAAACGACCGGAATAAGAGCGAAAAAAAAAAAAAAAAAATAACGAGTAAGAAATTGATATATATATACACTTATTTTCTTATGGTTGTTTATCTGTCTTTGGTGCATAAATGATATAATCATATGATGCATCCTTTTTTTTTTTTTTTTTAGATTTTCACATTTTTTTTGCTTGCACTTGTTTTGTGATTTGTTGTTGTCAATACCCTTTGGACTTGTAGGAAAGTGCGGTGCTAATGGCCACAGAGAATCCGGTGGCGCAGGTGTACGAGTACTTGAAGCATGTGGTTGGTGCTGGTGGTATGACGGGTGCCGTGCCAGCAGCGACGGTGCGGAATTATTTTGGCGCACTTGACGGGAATCGTATGTTTCACGGCGAAGGCGTTCTTTATTCTGCAATGGGCTTCCGCTACAAGGGGGATTTTGTCCATGGGAGCATGGAGGGTCACGGCCAAATCTCATGGAACAATGGCATTTCTTATCAGGGTGATTTTTACAACAATGCTCCTAATGGGAGGGGTATCTTCATCTGGTCTAACGGCAACAGGTATATTGGAGAGGTGAAAAATGGCGTGTGTCACGGCAACGGCGAGATGGAGACGAATCGCGGAGTATATTCTGGCGGCTGGGTCTCTGGTAAACGTCACGGCATGGGACGTCAGACGTATGCTGTTGATTCTTTTTACGAAGGAGAGTGGGCCGAAGACAAACGCCATGGCAGGGGCAAATTGGTGTACCCCAACGGTGACGTGTACGACGGCATGTGGGAAAAGGGTCGTCGACACGGCCTTGGAGTTATGGGGTGGAAATTTGGCACAAGACATTATGTAGAGGTATATGAGGGCCAGTGGAGTGAAGGTGCTCCTCATGGTCATGGGCGCTCCACTTACGTCCTGTATTTAGACGCAGATAATACCCCGAAAGATGTTGATACCCCGTCTAAGTTTTCTCCTCCCGTTCTTTCAGTCGTGAACGTGTATGAAGGTGAGTATGTACAGGGAATACGGCATGGCTTTGGTGTCTTTTACTACGCAGACGGAAGCACCTACGAGGGCGAGTGGCATCGCGGGAATAAGGAGGGTCGTGGAAAGTGTACAACGAGCGTAGGGGCTTCGTATTATGGCGTCTTCCGGTGTAATGAGGCTGAGGAACTTTTGAAGGATTCGGAAAACGCCGGAACTCTGCCAACGGTTGCGGTAGCAGACTTCTTTGGCGTTTCAGATAACTCGCTTGAAGAGGCCAAATCGTCCATACATATGCTATTGTTACGTTTTAACAACATGCTCAAGACTCTGTTTGACAGTTACAGTGGGAAGTTTGAGGACATAAAACTCATTACAACAAACCCCAATTGGTGGCGGCACCGCTTTCCGGGTCATTTATGCATCCCTCAGTACCTCCGTATGCTGAACGACGCGCACGTTATCAATGGCTGTGTAAGCATCCACGATGTGATGAATTGCGTTTTGCTCACTATTGAAAAAGAGCTGGAGTCTGAAAGGGAGGCATCATGTAATTGGTGGATTGAGAGGAAACGTGCACTGTATCATGCCATTGTAAATTTTGAGGGTTGCCTCAACTACCGACAATTTGTAGAGTCTCTTGTGCGTCTCTCGACCATTGCATGTGTCGGCTTCAAAGCCACCGAACTTCCGAAGCGCTTTACGGCGCTAATGGAGGGGCCACTCGCAAAGGAGCATCTCACAAATGAACCTTTGTGTCCCCTTACAAGACAGCATGAGTCACTGCTGTTACCACTTCTTCCTTCTTTGGAGGCACTGTTTCTGCGAATAGGAGCTGAATCTAATTTGCAGCCATGCAGCACAGTTTCTGTCTTGCCTGTTCGTGAATTTATTGGCTTTTTTCGAGATATGTTTGTTGAACGTGGTATCAGTTTAGTGGATGTCTTGAATTCTCTGTTTCCCTTTGATCGATTTAAGATCCCAGGCGTTGTACCGGTTGCTATCTGCCCGCCGCGTAACGCGCTGGGGTTTTCCATGTATGAAAAGAGCTGCGGGCCTCAAGAGGAGTTGGCGGCTGTCTTCGTGGCGTCAGAACGAAGATTGACATTTGTTGAATTTGTGGAGGCGGTGTTGGGTGCCGTGCGCCTTGTCGGTGTGGTGGACGAGAATGACGTGCTTGAGAAACTGCAGGAAATCATTGCAACAAAGTCCCCTTGACTATTGGGGCTTACTTGAACGCATATGTAAAAGAAAAATATTGAGGCGAGGGAGAACAGAGGCACCAACAGCCCTCTTGCGGGCATATGTGTGATCGTGATTGCATGAGCGATGAGGAACTGTGGCACCGGCGTTTTTGTGCTAACAAATTTTTTTTTTTTTTTTTTTGTGTGTGTGTATTGCTGATTTTTATTATCATTTTTATTGCTTTTTTTTCTTAGGGTAAGAGAAGAAAGAAGTATTTGTTTACAATTGAGGCACTGTTCTTTCCATTATGGGACTCGATGTTCAGCTGTTCCGCGATGAAAAGGGGGCAGATATTATCCGCGAGTCACAAAGACGGCGATTTGCGGATCCCACCATTGTGGACGCCGTGCTGGAGGTAGACAAGAGCTGGCGGCGCACACAATTTATGACGGATGCCTACAATAAGTTAATCAATACATGCAGCAAGCTTGTCGGTGCGAAGAAGAAGGAAAAGGAGGCGGACGGGGACACATCCGACATTCCTGAGTCGATCCGCGCAGCCTGCAAGGAGGGGGAGCTTGCCCCGGATCAGCTGAAAGGCCTTTGTGTGCTGCAGCTAAAGCAGCTGTCAAAAGACCTCTCGGAACAGGTGTCGGTTCTTGCGAAGGAGGCAGCAGAGTTGGTGGCAAAGCGTGATGGCCTTGTGCTTAGTGTCGGCAACATCATTCATGAATCGGTTCCCGTGGCGCAAGATGAGGATACGGGCAATGTCGTTGTACGCACCTTTGGTGATGTGACGAAAAGGGCAAAACTGAATCATGTGACGATCATGGAGCGTCTCGGTATGATGGATACAACAAAGACAGTTACCTCCATGGCGGGTGGGAGGGCGTACGTGCTGAAGGGTGGACTCGTTCAGCTCCAATTGGCGCTCTTGTCGTACGGGATGAACTTTCTTGTTAGCAGAGGTTACACCCCGTTGTACCCGCCCTTCTTCCTTAACAAGGATGCCATGTCAGAGGTGGCGCAGCTCTCTCAATTCGATGAGGAATTGTACAAAGTAACGGGTGACGGTGAGGAAAAGTATTTGATTGCCACGAGCGAGATGCCTATTGCGGCGTACCACCGGGGTAAATGGTTCACGGAGCTGAAGGAGCCGTTGAAGTACGCTGGAATGTCGAGTTGCTTCCGGAAGGAGGCCGGCGCTCACGGCCGTGACACGCTCGGTATCTTCCGTGTACATCAGTTTGACAAGTTGGAACAATTTCTGGTGTGTTCCCCACGGGAGGAGGAGTCCTGGCGGCATCTTGAGGAGATGATTCGCACCTCCGAGGAATTCTGCGAGAGCCTTGGACTGCCGTACCGCACCATCAACATTTGCTCTGGTGCGTTGAATAACGCCGCGGCAAAGAAATATGATGTTGAGGCATGGTTCCCCGCATCAGGCGCCTTCCGTGAGTTGGTATCGTGTTCTAACTGCACGGACTATCAGGCGCGCGGGGTGAATTGCCGCTTTGGTCCAAACTTGCGCAACGTGTCGGCCAACAACGTCAAGGAGTACTGTCATATGTTGAATGGTACATTGTGCGCTATTACAAGGACGATGTGTTGCATCTGCGAGAACTATCAGACAGAGGAGGGTGTTGTCGTTCCAGATGTGCTTCGTCCATACATGATGGGCCTGGAGATGCTGAAGTTTGCTGATAACGTGCCATCCGCCGAGGAAACGGAGTCAAAATAGTGTTGACGTTCCCGCACTGTGTTTGTTTTTCCAGTTTGTGTGAAGGTGAGGGAGAAGGAAAAAGGGATAACGAAAAAGGAGATGGAGGAGGACAATTTACGTTTGTTTATTTTGAGAGGGCCGTCAAGGAAATAACACGGCGAAAATATATAAAAAAGAAAAAAAAAAAAAAAAAAAAAAAAAAAAAAAGAGGCTTTTTTGATTAGTGAAGAGAAGGAGACGACAGGGTTGGAGGAAAAGGGTCATTCATTATTATTTTTGTTTTTCTCTCATGCATGCGTGTATGTGCTCTTGCATTGACGGATGCGGTGGCGGCTGGGACGGCGGAACGAGGCAAGAAGGAGGAGGAACAGACGGCAAGAGTAATACTTGCATCCGCCGGGCAATGCGACGAGCGCGAAGGAAGGAAGCAGAAATATAGAGAACACCATAAATTAAAATGAAAGCAAAACGGAAAAAAAAAAAAACAAAACGGAAAACAAAACAAAACCAAAAGAAAAAAAAAAAAAAAAAAAAAAAAAAAACGAAAAGAAAAAAAAAAAAAGAAACAAAAGGGCGGAACTTTCGGGTGCCAATGATCGATATGAAATTTTGTAATGTGCGCTGCACCCCCTTGAGTTGACTTTTATTATTATTATTTATTTCTATTTTTTTATTTTATTTTTTTCCACTTTTTCTCTTTTTCTCTTTGTGTGTGTGTGTGTCTGTGTGTGTGTTTCTTTTCTTTGCTTTTCTTTGCTTTTGTTTGCTTTTGTTTGCTTTTTTTTTTTTGTTTGTTTGTTCACGCAGGCCTTTTGCCTCATTTTCACCGGATTCTCGTCTTTTGTTTGTGGTTTCACGTCAGCAGGAGGGGGTTTTTGGATGCGGTTTGGAAAGAAGTGAATTAGATGAAGCGGGACCGCGACGATAGTGTGGTGGGAACGCCGAATGGCAAGTGGGACGTCTCCCCGCACGGTACACTGGGGGCGGAGGCGAAGGAGTTTGAAAGAAATGCGGTGCGGCGCTACGTTTTTGGGCTTGTGCATTTGAAGAATGAAAGCCCGAAAGCAAATGCGGTTGATGTCTCCGAGTCTATTGTTCGCTCCTTCAATGAACGGTTTAGGCGGATTGTTAAAATAGGACAAGGGAGCTTTGGAGAGGTGTACATTGTCTTTGACACCGTGACTCAAACCCACCTTACAATGAAACGCATGCAACTGCTTCGTGGCGCGGGTAGACGTGTCATGGGCCTTTGCAACACAACCTCACGGGAGATGAATCTGCTGCGCGTACTGAAGCATGTAAATATTGTTGAATTATTTGACTATCATGTCGTTCCTGATGGAACCCTTATCATGTTGATGCCCGTCATAGCTTATGATCTTGTCTCGCTGATTCGGCTTTGGCGAAATGGCGGGCCCCGCGGGGAGCCAAGTGCCGGTCGCATGCCACTTCCCACCATTAAGTGTATTTTCCGTCAGCTTCTCACAGGGCTGGCCTACCTACATAAGGAACGGGTTATTCATCGCGATTTGAAGCCAACCAACGTTATGATTAATGAAAAGGGAGTTGTGAAGATTATTGACTTTGGCTGGGCACGTTTTTGCCCTGCGCGGTGGCGTGGACCAATGACAGGACCGCCGTGTCCTGTGGCTTACCGCCCACCAGAAGTCCTTCTTGGCGGGGAGCACGCAGTGAACTACGACGCCTCCGTTGACTTGTGGTGCTGCGGTTGCATTCTATTTGAGATGTTGTCTGGCGGAAAGATGTTTATTAACGCCCGTAGCGAGGCGGAGGCGGTAGCGGCCATTACCGACTGGCTGGGCTCTCCGTCGTCGAAGAGCCAATTGTACTACGGCCACTCTGCTGTTTCTCTCATACGGTTCAAACAGAACCGTCCAAGCCGTTTGGCACACCGGTGTGAACTGTTGCACATTGACCGGGATAGTGTGGACATGTTGGAGAAGATGCTCCAGCTAGAGCCAAAGTGGAGAAGGCCCGCTGAGGAGCTGCTGCGGCACCGCTGGTTTTCCTCCGCGCCAGTGGCATGTGAGCCGCACGAAATATCGCTACCAGAGCACAACATGTATCGATGGTTGGATTCCAAGCGCCCATCGTAAATACGTGAAGTAATATGAACTTGGAAAACGAAAAAAGCAAATTTTAAAAAAGAAAAGCGAAAGAAGGAAAGGAAGAAAACATGCTTACAAATGGCATAAAAAAAAAAAAAAAAAAAAAAAAAAACAAAGGAAGATAGAGTATATACGTGTGTATGTGTGTGTATGATGAGGGGAAAATAAGAGAGTTCTGACAGTTGTGCGGCTGGAATGCTCTGTGGCTAAATTAATGTATTGGTGCGACTGTATGACCGTCCTTTTCCATCAGTCTTGTGGGTTGGGGACAACAAGAAACAAGATAAACAAAGGAGTGGCAAAAAAAAAAAAAAAAAAAAAAAAAAAAAAGAGAAACAAATAAAAAAAAAATAAAAAAAGTAATTATAAAATAAATAAATAAGTACTGGGGAGCGAGAGGGAGAAGGAAGCGGAAATCGAGGTTTATCGTTGCGGTTTTTTTTTTTTTGCCCTTTTTTTTTTTTTTTCTTTAGTGCATGAATGCTCAAGAGTCTGGTGAGAGGGGATGGCTTGAACATTACCTCGACCTCTCTGCGGACGAGGATGCTCGCAGCGATGGCGGAAAACAATCCTGCTTTGTGACGTCTGAGGAGTTTTTTGAGAGGCTGCAAGAGGAGCCGTCGCTGGATGAGCAGACCATTGGGGTGCATGTCTACACAGAGCCAGAGGTCTCGTGGGCTCCTTTCAGCCTTTTCTCAGGGAACCATCATTTTCTTGTCATTGAGACAAGTAGCTGGTGGTGGTCCATTGAGCTGCGAGATGGACGGATTGTGATACAGCGCGGAAAGGATTTTTCAAGTGTACAGAACCGCTGTCGGTGTAGATATCGTCGGCGTCGGTTTTTGCAAAATGGGCCATACCTTGTATTTCAGGGAACATTTGAGTGGTGCTGCCTTCGTGACCTTTTTTTCCTCATTGATTGTGAGGGATTCTTCAATGGAGGCGTTTTATCCGATAAATTTTCGTCGTTGGCCCTTGTTAACTACATCTTCAAGGAATGTGGTGTGCGCCAGTTGGTTGGCACCAGTCATGTGTGAAGTTATCTTTGATTTTTTTTTTTTTTTTTATGGGGGTGATGGTGGTGGTGTTGGTGTCCTCTTTTGATTGTGAAAGGGGAGTTATGATGTGTTCTTCTCATTATTTAATTTTTTCTTGCTTTTTTTTTCTATTATTATTATTATTATTATTATTATTTTTATTATTATTGTTGCTTTGTATTTATCTTGAGAAAGCATTTTTAGTTTTTCTGTGTTTTTTAATTTTCACACCGCATTGATTATGCTGCATACATCACCTTGTATATATATATATATATACTGCGGGGTGTGTTGTTTGATTGCACATACTTTGCTTTTGACCGTGGGATGCGTGCTTGTTTCTTTTTATACATATGTATGCGTGGCTGCACAGAAGAAGAGGGAAAGAAACAACGCAAGAGATCTCACGTACGCAATATAAATTTACAAAAGCTAAAAACATCAACAACAACAACAACAAAAGTGATTAACGGGAGACGCTAAAAGCCGTTCCGATGGCTTCTCTTATTAGGCGGGTCATGGTGGCAATGGGCGAGATTGCACCACTGTGGCTTGCTGACCAGTCGTGGGACAATGTTGGGTTACTTGTGGAGTCGCCGGACAGCAACAACTCGGGTATTGTCCTCCTCACCGTTGATCTCACCCCTGAGGTGATGGAGGAGTGCCTGCGACATAATGTTGAGGTGATTGTCGCATATCATCCGCCCATCTTCACGGCGTTTAAGCGTCTCACGCTGGCGGATCCGAAGCAAAAGATTATTTTACAGACGGTGCGTCACGGTGCATCCATCTACTCGCCGCACACCTCGTTGGATGCTGCGAAGGGTGGCATCAACGACTGGCTTGCGTCGATTGTAGACAGCAGCGGCGCGTGCCGTCCCATCCAGCCGTGTGAGTGTGTGAATAGACATGGCAACGGTGGTTTCGGCGGAAATGATAAAGATGAGTTATCCGTAGGGATCGGCCGCCTCGTGGCGCTTCATCAGCCAAAAACAATGGCCACTTTGGTGAATGACATAAAGACCGGATTGCGCATTCCCACTGTTCGTGTGTCGCTCCCGCATGGGTGGAGCGGCAGCACATCGGTTCATTCGGTGGCTATCTGCGCGGGGAGCGGTTCCAGTGTGTTTCGTATGATAAGGGAACACGTGGATGTCTTGCTGAGTGGGGAGATGGGGCACCATGAGGTACTCGCCGCCAACGCCAAGGGGCAGGCCGTCATTCTGTGCGAACACACCAACACGGAGCGGGGGTACCTGGAGAAGGAGCTGCTCCCAAAGCTGCAGCAAAAGCTTGAGAAGGGCGTGCGTATCATTGTTTCCGCGGAGGACAAGGATCCGCTTGTTGTATGGTGAGTGAGAGAGTGTGTGAGTGTTTGTGTGCTTCCCCGCATCCATTCACTTGCGTCTTCTTCTTGTCCAGAATTAAGATGGTGGTGGCGGTGGAGGAGGCAAAAAGTGAGACAAGAGAACAACAACAACAAAAAATATGGCGAGTTGATTTATGCGCGGGGCGTTAAATTGCTACATGTATTTTATTTTATTTTATTTTTCTCTTTCTCTGTGTGTGTTATTTTCCGCAGAACCCTCTTTTTTTTTGCTGTTGTTGTTGTTGCTTGTGTTTGCTCTGTTGTTGCGCAGAACAGAAATTTAGAGAAGATAGATTTTATTTCCGAAAATTGAGAACACGGGCCCCGCAGAAAGAGAGTACGTGGGCACGCGTTTGACGCCAAAAAAAAAAAAAAAAAAAGAAAAAAAAAGGCCAAGAGAGAAGGAGGCTGTGAGACTTCTAAAAGTGGCCCTACAAGAAAACAACAAGAAATACAGAGGGAACTGAGTGAGAGTAAATTGACAATGAGTGCGGCAATATTGAATGAAATTGAAGAGACACGTCGGCTAGTGGATGAGTACTACTTCAGGCACATCACCCAACTACATGCCGCTCGCAGTACCTTCACGCAGCAATTTGATCAGCTGGCAAGCCTGCTTAATGCCGGCGCGAGCTCCCGTCACGAGGAGACTGGCCCTGTCATGATTGACGCGTTGCTAACGACGCCAAGTCGACCAAATTATGTTAACGATGAAGCGATGTTGGCATCGCCGTCAATGGCCTCGCCGCCAGTGAACCGTGCGACACTCAACTATGATCACCTCCTCACTGAAGTGAGCGGGGATAATTCGGTGGCGTGGCAGAACTGCCCGGGCGCTGAGTCGGAGGCCGATTCACGCAAGCGGCCAACGCTGGACTCCATTCCGGAGGAAAGGCGTAGTCGCTCACCACCGAAGGATCGTTCTGTGCCGTGTCAGGTGCTTGTGGTATTCAAGCGCAAGCGCATTCTTCAGTTTGAATCCCAGACGTACGTTGCTCCCGGCGAGTACGTTGTCGTCGGTGGTGATCGTGGGGAGGACATTGGGCTCGTCACGCATTCATGGACGCTTGGCGAACGGGACCACAACGGTGAGAAGAAATGGGGGGAAGGCGTGGGCCGAGTGCTTCGTGTGGCCAGCGCGTTGGAGGTCTCGCAGCTGCAAGGTGTTCAGACGGAGCTGGAGGAGCGGGCGGTGGAGGTGGCGCAGAAGAAGGTGGAGGAGCACGGCCTTCCGATGTGCATCGTCGATGCCGAATACCAGTTTGACAGAAAGAAGCTCACATTCTACTACCGATCGCAGCATCGATTGGACTTTAGGACACTTGTACGGGATTTGTACAAGACTTTTCGTGCCCGCATTTGGATGGAAGCGGATGTTCCTTCGTAGGAAGGGAAATTAGGAGAAAAAAAGATACAAACGATACCAAAAACAGAATGAAAAGAAAATAATAGTCGAATAAGAGGATGCAGATTTTTTTCATCTGCTTGGGGCGGGATTGGCTTACATCAATCAATCAATCAATCTATCTAAATATCTAAATATTTATCTATTTAACTATCTATATTTATAGATATGGGCACATGTTTGGAATGGAGTGTTATCTACACTCTTCCTTATTGTTCCCCATTTTTGACACATGAGCAGGAGAACACTTTATGAGTCCCTCTGGAGGGTGGGACACACTGATCTGCCATTTGTTTTTGAATGCAGACACAGACACATACATGCGCGTATAAATGTTTTGTCTAATTTGTGCTTGCATGCTCGGCGCACCTTTTTTTTTTTTCTCTTTGTTCCTGACGGTTACTTATTTATTCTTTTAGTTTTGACGTTTTTATCGTTTTTATTTTTTTGATAATTTATTGGTGAATCTTTATTTTGTGTATCTCCTGTCTTTCAGCTTAACGTGTCTTCTTCTTTTTTTTCTTTCTTGCGCCATGATTTGAAGCACCCGCGCCGCCAAAGACACGTGTAGGGAGAGAGGGGGAGGGTGGGGCGAAGGGAAAGGAGAAGGGGGAGTATATATTTTGCTGTTGTTTTTCTTTTTTGTTTCTTTTTCTCCTCCTCTACCTCGTGTGTACGTGTGGTGGGAGAAATTTGTTGAGGATTACACGAGGCAGCCGGCGTGGTTCACGAGTTTGCTGCGGATGCAGCGCAAACGACGCCTTTTGTCCCCATCGCAATCAAATTTGCTAGGGGGGCCACAGTGCGACGTTTCGGAGCCTTTTAGCGACATTGAGGGGTCTGCGCGGGCCTGCTCAGTGCGGAGTGAAGGAATGCCGGCTTTGCCGGGCGAGCCCGTGATGGATGGTGGGGAGATCGATCGCAGCGGCGCAACAACTTTGCCGGTTGGGCGCCTCTTCCACAAGGAGCGTGAGCTGAACGAGAGGGAGTTGGCGCTGGCGAGGCAGAAGGCAAATTTGGCGCGGAATCTTCAAGAGAGTCTTGCGTTACTGCTGGTTGATCAGGACGATGAATTGCGGGGCTCAAACCCCGCCGTGTTGCGAGATTCCTCCTTTCAGCGTGAAGATGTAAACAGGTTAGATGACTACGTTGTCCATAATCCAGCGGATGTGATTGATGGAATGAATCGCGTTAGTGCGTACGTCGGCGGTCGTGCCTTTGGTGGGACGTTTCTTAAAACTTCCTCGAATGGAATTTCCATCCAGGTGCAATGTTGCAAGGTTCCACGGGTGCAACGCGCCGTGTCTCCTGTCCTGCGCGTTCAACCTCTGTACTCGCCGTGGAACCCTGAAAATGTACTGTCTTCTTTTATGCAGCAGCAGCAGGAACAGGAACCGCAGCTCCGACAAATCCCCGAGCTGCAATTCGCAAATGGCTTGGATGTGGCGGTGCAGACGGAGCCTGCAACGGAGGATGCCACCGGGGGAAGGCCCCTCACAATTGAACGTGACGAGACGGTTACGAAATGTGTGCAGACTTTAATGGATGCAGCGTCATCGACCTCCAGTCTGACCTTGACGCGCGCAAGCGGGGCATCGTCACGTACGGGCAGCCGTTCTAGTGGCTCCCGAATTCAGCACAAACAATTGTCGGAGTCGGCTTTGAATGGAGAGAAGGAAATGAATGAGGTAGCGATGAGACCATTGGGCAATTCAAAGAAGGGGTCCGAAGCGCAAAGCCCGAGCAACGAGACGAGGAGCGATAAATCTTCACACGGTGAGACCAAGAATGCAAATGGCCCTACACATGAGGTTGGAGTCGCTCCCCCTGTGGAGTTTAGCCCTCCACCCAAAAGTGTTACTGGCTTACATAGTCCTCCTGCACGTGTGCAGATGAGGACGCTTTCAACTATTCCGGAAGGCAGCGCCGAAATGATGGGTCTATTAGAGAGCAACGAAAGTTACAAGGCCTCAAGAGAATTGCATTTTGATTCTGGATTTCATTGTGCCACGCCCGTGGTTCGCACGACGGCATGGTACTTGCCCAATTCTCGTGTGCTGCACCATACCGAGTTTAAAAACCTTCTCTGTGGGGACTGGGAGTCACCGTCGAAGTCTGTGCAGGTCGAGTCGGCACCCAGAGATTGGTCACCCGTAGTCAGGGATGCAACTGTCCAGGTGTCCCTTGTTGAGCCGCAGGAATTTGGCTTGGCTGCAGAGGACTTTATTGTAGAGTTCCCTCTCCCACCGGACCTTCCATGTCCCGACATGCCGCCAACTGGAAGAGAGAGTAAGACGGAACGTTCCTCTGCGTGCTGCGGACCGTGTTCATCGGGATGCCGCTTTTCCTGCTGTTTCCCCTTTCTTAAGCGAGCGAAGAAGAAACCGGTGTTGTAACATCACCCCTTTGGTGTTTCTTTTTTCTTCTCTCTTTCCCTCTTGGTGCGCATCAACAATAAATAAATGCATTTTTGTAGCTGAAATTTGGAGCTCTTTTATTTCAAATGCGCGTATATTTATATTTGCACACGTGCTGCGCGAAGGCAGTGAGTGGGAAATGGCGATATGGTTTCAAAGAAAAAAAAAAAAAAAAAAAAAAAAGAAAAAACACAAAAAAACACACACACAGAAAAAAAAAAAAAAGACCCGCGTGAGCAAATAAACACGGAAAGAGGGGAAAAAACAAAATAACGGAAAAGGAGTTGACGCACGGGATGGAAATTGGGCTTTGGTGATGTGTCTTATCTTTTCTCATCATGGTGTACTGTTTTTCACATATCTTCATCTTTTTTTTTTCTTTTGGCTTTTTCTGAAGCAGCACTCTTTGCGTGTCTGAGGTGGAGGGGCCGCCGTACAGGAGGACTGAGAGAAGCATGGAATTAGAAGCAGAAACCAAAGAAAATGAGAGGATACAAGAGATTTTGCGTGACATGGATGACAGCCCACATATCCTTTACTATACGAAAGAGCCCCTACACATTCATCGCCACGGTAGACGGAAGAAGGTGCTTATTCTCTCAACGCCATACCATGTGTATCTGATCAAGGCGAAGGGAATGTCCCTTTACGCCAGATGGCCCAACAAACTACTGACCGTCAGCTCTACACAAAACATAATTTCCATTGGAACTTTGGATTTGTCGCAGGGGCAGCAGCTGCAGACGTTTACCCAGACTGCAGTCTCTGAGGAAATTAGCACGGACTTGGAGTTCAAGACGGTGCAACTGGAGTGCGCCTCTGTGCTGCAGGCGACAAACACGGAGCGGTGGCTTCAGAAACTCGCCGCGGACGCACGGTGGCGCACGGAACGGTTGGAAAATTATGAGAGTCATCCTGCACAAAATGAGGCGCAGGAAGCGAATGAAAAAGAAGATGAATGGAGTGGTGCAGAAAGCGAAGGTAGCGACGATTCCACTGGACCCATATGGGGACAAAAACAACAACAACTTCTCCCGCAGCGGCCACGAGAAGGAGAAACGAGCAGCCTGTTTCAAAAGGCCCCGTCAAGGTACCTTGCTGTGGCGTCACTGGTGGATGGAGAGTTTACGGATTATACCGCGTTGAAGAATGCATACATTCGCAATGAGGAAGATATTCTACAGGGGGATCTTGCAGCGTTTATAAAGGAAAATGAGGGCCAAGTGGAGAAACTTTGCGAGAGTCATTATCCGGCCTTCCTCCACGCAGCGCGACAGTGCTTTTTCATTTCCGAAAAGGATGCCGAGTTGGTAGGGCAGGAACTCGGCGGTGCCACCACACTCGCCCGTTCCTCGGTGATGGAGATGAAACGGGCGGCGGCCGATCTTAATTTATCACGTTGTGTCAAGCAAAACGTTGCACATGTGGGGTCATTGCTGCGTAGCACACTGGAACTGGCAGAGATTCTGGAGACGGTGGAACAACGCGTACGGAAGCAGCAGTTACTGGGTGCCGTGGTGTCGTTGAAACAACTTATGCGCGGAGCAGCCCCGTTTGCGGAATACGCGCTTGGTGAGTATGTGATTCACCACCGGGTGCCACAGCTGTCGCAGGACATTTTTACAGCTGCAGTGCATGACCTTAATGCATGGCTGAAGCTGTTGCGAGAGTCCTCGCTGCCTATTGGCACTGCGGCCTTAAAATGGGAGGGAATTGTACAATCTGGATCCGTCGAGAAGAAGTTGCGAGTTTCAGAGGAGGGTGAGTGGTGGGTAGAAATGAGTTATGTGAGGGCTTGCATTAGGCGTGCCCCCTTTACAGAATCATCCAGCATTGCAAATATCCTGCACGGGACGTCCATACAGGAGGTGTTTGAAGAGCTTCATCATGGGACGTATTACCGTAATTATTATGCTGAAAGCCGCATGCAGCAGTTGAAACTAGACCTTTTTGAGGCGCCCTTATCCTCTGAAGGGCTTGACGGGGAGGCTACCGTGGGGGAATTAGAAAAATATTGTGCTACAGCGCTGGGGTTTGTGCTGATTGAGGACATTGTGCATAATGTCACTGAACCGCATGTACAGTCAACAACCGAGATCATATGCATGTGGGAAAGGCTGTCACAGGCCATGGCTGATCGAGCACGGCATGTATCCAAATTACTTCTTAGTGATCCCGACTACACGGCGCGAATGATGGATGTCTTTCGTCTTTTGCGTTCCTTTGTCGGTATTGCTGTAGAGAGTGTCAAAAGTGTGCGATTGAGTCCTCTTATTTTGTCTCTTGTTGTGGAGTCTATGAGTGACAGCATTATTAGCTCTTGGTTGCAGGAAGCCTGCGTGGAAGTGACTCAAGTTGTCCTTACCGATACGCTTCTGCCACTGAACGCTACAAGTTCAGAAGAGTATCACGCGTATGTGACACGTTTTTATGTGGATCGTTGCAAATCCATTGAACTTCCGTTGCCCGTATGTGGATTTACGTCAGGATGTGTGACACTACCATACGCCTCAATGGTTCCTGCGATTGGCGACACGGCGTTACGGTTTCTTTCACAGTGCCACTCAATCATGGTGATGGACGATGGTGCGGTGGTGCGTCAATCCGAGCTCAATAATGTGGATGAAATGCTTCTTAAATATCTTTCTGTTCTTTTCAGAACCGTAGCGGAACTGTTGCAAACTCATATGGTCTCCGTGGATGCACGTGCGGTGTTGCAGCTTGCCGTCTACGTGACATCGTGTGCAACGATGAGTGTTATTGTATCGTGTGTGGAGCAGCAATTTGTGCTCGCATGGCATGGTGATTGCGGCGAGGCAAGACGGGAGACACTTGGTGTGCCGCGGCTGCTGGCCGATTCGGCGACTCTTTTTGCGAAGGCCGTGCAAAAAGGTATTGAACGACTCCTTGCGGCATTTGTGGCGGAAACGGAGGACCGTTTGCAACCCGTCGCAGAAATCGATTACTGGAAGAGACTTGTTGAGATTCGCCGTGGTACGGCGGCGCCAACGGCAACAAGGGCGGAAAACAATGCTGGTACGGGAAAGGGCCTTGTGGAGGCTATGGAGTACATTATTGCCATGATCCCGAAACTTACGGCGGTGCTTCAGGTTTCCGTGGTGCGCAGTGTGCTGGGAAGCGTCGTTGCTCATGCGGCCATCACGGCACAGTCGAATTTGGAGCGTGCGATTTATAGTGGCTGCCGCGATGGAACTGCCAGTGATTTTACTACTCTGCGTGAGTGCGTGCGGGAGTTTGAGCTGCTTTGCGCCATACAAATTCCTTTGTGGCAGAGGCGCATTGAGGGTGCCGTTAGCGGGTTGTCTGTGGCACAGCGATTCCCGTTGCAACCCAAGCAGATTGCTGACGAGCTTATTTTGTGGATCAGGCGCAAGGAGGCCGAAGTGGCGGCAGAGCAGGCGAGCACAAATCAAGTCTTTGCTGGCATCGAGGGGGCCGGCAAACTTGTGGCGAAAGGGGTGGAAAGGGGAATTCAAGTCGTTGGACAAACCGTCAAGGGAGGCGCAAACGCCATTACAGGGGCTGCGAGTGCTATTAAAGGCAAACGTGAAACGTAGGCAGCCTCTTTGGCACACCTCAATACTTTTCAATTTTTTAATTATTTTTTTTTTTTGTTCTGAAGAGGAAGAGAGTAAGATTTCCCCTTGCCGCTATGCTGGCGGCATTTGCTTGTTTCCATGTGTTGCTTGTACGATTCCCCTTAACGCCTGAACTTCAGTCACTTGTTGCATCCGCCACACTTCAACCAGGACGTGGTTGCGACGGTCTTTGCCTTACTCCCACGCGGAGGCCCCGACGTCTTCACCTCCACCCACCTTTTTTTTTTTTTTTTGTTCTTCCCCGCTGAAAGCACGGAAAGAAGATCTTGAAGGAAAAAAAAAGTGTGGGTTTTTTTTTTGGCGGCGGTGATTGAAGGGAAGGCGGGGTCAAATTGCACGCGGTGGGAGGAATTTAACCGGCGTGGAGCGGCGAGGGGTCATGAGTGTGGCGGATCGACTACGAGCCTTTCGCTACGCCACTAGTGCCCGTGAGGTGCCGTGGAACCACGTGCGCAGCGTTGATGTGGCGGCGCATCGGGTGCAGGAACCGGACCTTTGTCTCATGAAAAATCTTATTTCCCTTCTCTCAGATTGCAACCTTGCCAGTGCGACGTCACCCACAACAAGCTCGGCGGATGCGTACCAGCTTCTTAGCGCCATGCAACTTGCCCTGCAGTTCGCCCTTTGGTCACAGTCGATTCTCAAGGAGCAGTTGGTGGAGAAGCAAAGTGGTGCTGCGGTGCAGCAGATTAACCTGCAGTACGTGGAGGGGCTTGAAAAAAAACTGGAGAAATCCCACCAGGAGGCCATTAAATTGCGGGAAGAACGTGACAATATTCAGATCGCCTCTCGCAGCCTCGAACACCGTCTCACTCAGGCAGAAGCAAAAATAAGATATCTTGAAAAGGACCTCGAGTTTGAGCGTCGACGAGTGAGCGAGACGATATCTCTTTTTGCCACCCGGCTGCAAAAGCGTCATTGACAGCCACAGCAGGAGAAGCAGCAGCGGCAGTGCGAACGCATGTTATCTGCATTGGCCCTTTTTTCCCTCATTGTCCCGTTTTCTTACCTTTGAACCGTGGCGGAAAAATGCCCAAAGAGCTCTTGGGACCTGATTTGTGGAAAATAATGAGCCGTGTAACGATGGGCCTGCTTTAAAGACTACATGGAATATGTTGCGTTTTTTTTAAAAATGCAATCTGTTTTTGCACACACGAATTCAATACAGAGGCGTTATGCCCGTATTGCTGATAATATCTCTTGGCCGTGAAGATAGGCACACATACATACGCACACATACATACACGCACTCACGGAGAGGGCGTTGGGCGTGAGCTTTTGCCCTCTACTGTAAAAATAAAATAGATTGGTCTCGGTTGTGTAATTCCACAGGGAATATATGTCTACTTGTGTTAAATGAAAGTCAGGGAGTAAACTTCTCACATGAGGGAGAGGGGCCTTGCGTCGGCCTCATCGCTGGTGCTGCTACCGACACAAGGAGGGAAATAGGTGCTTTTGAGGAAAGTGTCAGGACCCAAATGGATGCTTGCATCCGAGACGGGGTTTTCTATCACATATAATGAATGCATATTATTATAAATTGCTGTAATGATTTTGATACATACAACGATACGATGTCATGATGTCTAATTTCTTTTTTTTTTCTTTTTTTTTCTTCCCTGTCCACAGTCTTTATTGAATCAGCTTGAGTTTGCAGGAAATTATTCTTGGGTTTGGAGTGAATCCTTTTCAATGTCGTCAGCTGACTTGTTTAAAAAGTTTACGCTACAGAATGTTGCCCAAATAGCGAACAGCAGCCATAAAGAGCAAATGCAGGTGAGGCACGATTTGGCAGAGCAGTATCCGCAGCTGGCAGACTTTTGGGAAGACATTATGCCCCGGAAGTCGGATATCATGCTGGTACGTTGTCATGACCAGGTCCACTGCGTCACACTAGTCAGTGCACAACCGGAGGTTCTTTTTTTTAACCACCACAATGGGCCTTACATCCCGCACCTGAAACTTCTTCACAAGTACCCATTTATTCTTCAGCGTCACCAAGTGGATGTTGGGGCCTGTAAACATGTTCTCTCCGGGGCTAACATCATGTGCCCGGGGCTTACATCCAAAGGCGGTTACATCACGCCAGAAATACCAGCCGGCCAGTTGGTGGCTGTGTACGTTGAAACAAAAGAACATGCAGTGGCGATAGGAAAGACACTAATGTCTTCCGAAGAAATTAAGAAGGTGAATAGCGGCCCATGCATTGAAAACATACACCACGTGGGAGATGGCCTTTGGATGAACCGTGTTTTGAGTGCCTCGCACATTGGGGCCCGGTGACGCCTCATAAATTGGAGGTATTGGCCGTGTAACAATCGCACCATCATACATAAGATGCGATGAAAACGAAAGCCGTTTTCTTTTGAGTTGTGTTTGAATTTACTCGTCTGGTACTTGAGCAGCAACTTTTATTTTATTTTATTTTATTTTTTGATTCTTTGTTGCGCTGTTGTTGTTGTTATAAATGCATGGTCACGTATGCCGACAGTGCCGTGATGTTGTTGCGATTGTCCCTTTTTTTTTTTTTTTTGCGCAATTGCTGGCGCAGCTCAACCTGCTTTTCATTTGTATGGGAGCCTGTTCAGGTACAATTTTTTTTTTCTTTTTTCTTTTTTCGCAACTTTTATTTATTTATTTATTTATTTATTTATTTTTGCCTGCTGTTTGTTGTGGGTGTGTTAATAAACAGCGGAGCATGAAGTTTTGTGGGGTCTGTCGGCTGAAGTATTTGCGTGCCTCGAAGGTGGCTTACGGCGGTTCGGTGGCCTCGTTGTTGAATGGCTACCTGCAGCAGGGGGCGGAGACGCATGCGGCAAATTTGCCGGCCTCACAGAAGTACTTTTACACACAGAAGGAACAGCATGACTTGTCGAGCTCTCAGAAACACCGGATGATTCAACTGCGTCTCGGTTCGGCCCAGATGTTGACATCGACGGTGGGAAATATTGCCAATCAAAACGAAGCGCATCCGCTTTATTACTCGCAGACATCACCGCGGGCGGCCGGATTGTGTGTCTCGCTCGTTGTGGCGCTGAAGAAACTGCGTATTCATCGCCTCACGGAGCTGCAGGGTGCGTTGATTCCAGTGTTGCTTAGGGGCAAGCACATCATTGCACACGCTGAAACAGGAACTGGAAAGAGTTTTGGTGTGGCGCTTGCCTGCGCCAACCGAATCATTCGGCAGAAGATCAACTATCGTCTCCATACTGTCATTATTGTGCCAACGGAGGAGTTGGCTCTGCAGTACGAAAAGTGGTTGCGTCACTTTGGTGGTGGCACATCACAGGTGGTGCAGGTGGCAATCGAGAGGGTTCCGATGGAGACACAACTGGCGAGACTTCACAACATCCAGCCACACGTATTGGTGGGCACTCCGCAGCGTGTTGCCGATATCTTGAGGCTCAGCCCCACCATTCTGGGCGAGAAGTTGCGCCGCAAGGTGGACTGCGTCATTTTGGACGAGGCCGATATTATTTTATCTGCCGAGTTGCGGTTTGGGCGTCAGAAAATAAGCGGGGAGGCGTTGGTTGATCGTCTTTTCCGCAGTCGCCCAGAGGAGGTGCCGGCTCAGTTGGTGGCAGCAAGTGCAACCATCAATGGCCGCACGGCGCAGGCCCTTAACGCTTGGATGCGGAACGACAAGGCGATACGTTTGACGACAAGTTTTGTGGAGCACACAATCCCTCAGACAATTAGCTTTTATTTCTTTGCGGAGTCTATGAAATACTCATTGCCATATTGTTTAGAACTAATACTTCGGCTTATATGCAAGCAAGAAAGGCGCGCTCGAGTGCTCCTCTTTACGACACTTGAGGCAGTGGAAGGGGTGGTTAAATCTTTAGGTACAATGCAGCAGCGTTGCCGGGAATTGCATGGATGGTTGCAGCAGGACTCGAACAGAATAGTTGCGGCACCGTTGCAGTCTTTATTGAACCCGACAAGTGGTCGATCTAAGCCGATTGTGGCTGGGTCACGTGACGTTTACGTAAAGGATGACAGTTCTTTGGCGAAGCTGAACGCTGGTATGCTGTTGGTAGGTGTGGGGAGCCACGAGCTGAGTCGTGGAATTCATGTGAGTGGGATCACACATGTAATCCTGTACGGCGATTGCCCTTCTGCCGCATCTTTTGTGCACTGTGCCGGGCGGACGGGGCGGATGGGGGCAGAAGGTCACGTTGTGGTGCTGTATCCACCGTCCTCCGGCCGTACTGTGCAGCAGGTGTGTCATGCAGTGGAACTGCCGTTTGTGCCAGGACGAATGGAGCAAGTGGAGGATCTGCTGGGCAATGTTGATTTTGCCTCTGCTGAGAACATAGAGACGTTGCAGAATGCAAATTTGCATGCGAAGCCGGATGAAGCTGGGGAGTGTCTGGCTCCTATGGTTTTTCCGAATGGGTGAGACGTTGTTTTCCCCTCTCCTTCTCTCTATCTCTGTTCATTGTCTTTGGTTACTCCCTTTGTTTCCGCGCTTGTCAGGTCTGTTTTTTCAGTTGTTGTTGACTTTTTCAGCA